GAGACAGCAAACAGTCGGGACAATTTACTTGTGTTTAGTTTCAGGAATTACATACTGGGAACTGAGAGAAGCTGGGAAGAAGCTGAGATGGAGAGTGAAGTAGCAGCAACAACAAGCCCCGACAAATGTACAGATGTTAAAGTAGATGTTGACGAGCAGGAGGACACAAACACAAATAGACAGTTAGTATCAGGAACAAAACTGGACATTCTTAAAGAGGAGCATGTGGATTTGAACCCACCTATGGAGGAAATGGACAAAACTGATAGAGTAATTGAAAAAGGCAGAGACACGGAAACAGAAAAGGACCTCAGTTTGTTTATTTCTACTGGTTGTACAGTCATACCAAACAGTGGAGCTGATACAGAGGAAGAGATGGTGGAAGGCAGCAACCTGCATTTAGATAATAATGATGCAAAGACTGATCTGTGGTCAGTGGCAGTGACAGGAACAGGGGAAGACGCTGAAGAGAATCAGTCAAAGTCAAAATCAGACAAACAAGTTCTTTCACCGAGTGAAAAACAGGCCAGGCCAGAGAAAGAGGTGAAAAAGAAAGAGAAGAAGAAACAAAGGAAAAAGAAAAAGGCAGAGGAGAAGACTGTGGAGAGTGAACATGCAGAAAAGTTAACATCACAGTCTGAAAATGATTTACAAGCGGAGCTATTCATTAATGCAGGAGCTGACACAGAATCAAAGGCAAATAAGCATTTGGTGTCAGAGGCTGTGATTTGTGAGGGACAGCCTGATAATGGTTTCGATTTCAAGCAACAGCTGAGTCCCAAAGGAAGGCCCAGCTCCAGCCCCCCGCTGTCCTCACACAGCGGGTGGGATCAACTTACTGACTGTTCACCTGCACCCCACCCGGCTCCCTCACAAAGGCCCCATCAGTCAGATAACCACATCCCTGTAGACACGAATCACAGCTCAGAGAAGATGCCACAGCGGAAGCCATGTGAAACTGGAGACGTCAGCGACAGCCAAAATACACCCACGACACATGTCCAAACTGCAGTTATCAATCCACTCGCATCTGCCGATAGAGGATCAGATCCACAAACACAGGAATCTACAGTTACCACAGATGCGTCCGTACTCACTCAAGAGAAACTGAGCCCACTCACCGATAGTCAAAGTTGTGTGGGAGAGAGTTGTGCAGAGAGTGCCTTTGAAGAGGCTTTAGTGGTGGTTGCTCCGTTGCCACTGACAACAACCACAGTGCCAGAAGTGATAGAAAGCAGTGAAGCAGAGGGAGAAAGCACCGGGTGTAACTCACAGGAGCCGGGAACTAATGTAGCTGTTACAGAGTGTGCAGGATCAGAAGATGAGGAGGATTTGGAGCTAATAGAAAAATGCCTGGACTCTGCAGAAAGAGAGAGAGCAGGAGTCCTGGACACCCCTCCTCAGCTCCCATTAATCTGTTCAGAGGAAAAATGCTCAATTGTACTCACAGCCAAAGAGGGACAGACAGTATCTGAGGAAAGCTGCAGCGAAATGCCACAGAGCTCAACTGAGGCAGAAATTAAGGGAGAGAGCGAGGATAATCACGGTGCGGACCCAGGGAGCTCACCAGCAGAGGGAGGTGACATAGAAAAGGAGCTACTCCTGCTAGAAGCATACATCAATACTTCCCTTGTGCTAATCACTGGACCTGATTGTCAGGCTCAGAGCGCTGAGGACGTGGAGGGAGCAGAAAAAGGAGGAGGAATAGAGGTGATGGAAGAGAAAGCAGGGCTGGCTGAGGAGCACAATTTATTCTGTCTGCCAGCAGCCTGTGCGAGCGGAGCATTATCAGCTGAGACTGAGTTGTATCCACCCACTGATGTTGCAGAGTCACAGCTGAAGTCAACGACCTGGGCTGAGCCAATTGCTACTGTCAGGGAGAGCATCTGCACTGAACAGGACCGTCTTCCAAACCTCTGCCAGGAGCAGCGTGGCGCAGCAATTTTGCCTCTCCCCCCTCACTTTCAGCTGAGCTCCGACAACATAAATGCAGGGGTAAGAGCTGATCTCAATCACAATCTGTTTTCAGAAGAAGTGCTGCCGGTGGGTCAGGGGTGTGAAGAGTCATCGATCACACACAGAGAGGTAAATAACAACTCTGTCTTCCAGTCTATAATTAAACCTGAACCTCTGACTTCTTTGCAACAAAACCAAGTCGAACAGAAAACAATCGACAATCAACAGGTCAGACCTGAAAGTAACACAGCAGAGACCAGGCAAACTGAAACTGCAGGTGAAGCCGAAGCCCACAGCGATAGTGCAGTCTCTGCAGTGGTTGTAAATGTGTGTGGCAGCAGTGTGAGCAACAACAGAGTTCATTTTAAAGATACTGTGGAAGAAGAGGACAGTTCCACACCAGACCTTGGGAGTATGTCAGTGACAGGGATGGACTGCGCCTCTTTACCTCCACTCACCGTGCATGAGAGTTTGTATCACCCGGTTGTAGAGGCCAGCTACAACTTTCCAAATTTCCTCATCCTGAAAAAACCTGAACTATCTATTAATTCTACTCCAATCTTGGATAATGAAGCACGGAGCACAGAATACTCTCTGGAGGCTCAGAAAGATTCCCAGGTGGACAAAAGAGAAGTGGAGACCCCAAAGACCACAGAGAACATTACCAAAGACCAGTCAGGTAACAATGTTCTGGTGGAAAGTGCTGAGGATTTTCCAAAAATTGCTGATGTCTGTGGAAAACAACTTCCCTGTCCAACACAGAAGACTAATATTATAGAATGTAGTGAAGAATCTTTACAAACTGGCGGAGGGGACTTCTCTGATGTTGATCAAGTATTAACTGAGCATGTTCCTACAAACCTGGTAAATACATCTGATACCCAGGCCACTGACACGGACAAGCCTGATGAACAATCCTTATTGAGTGATGCTACTGAGATTCCTGAAGAAAAAGAAGCCAAACGTCTTCCAGACAGCTCAAATTCTGTACTCGTAGCTAATAATAAAACCTGCACCCCTCTAAGTGCTGTCTACTCTGAGTTTCCCACTAGGATTAATGAAACTGATATTTCAGAACCTGAAACTCTCTCTTCGACCTTGACAACCTCTCTTCAGAGTCAGCCTGCTGACCCCAGTTATGGTCTTCCCACCGATGTGGAACAAACACTTCCTGGTGGATCACTTCCTTCAGATCCACCAAAGGCAGATGAAGAGGCTGTCTCCTCGGTCCACTCTGCTGATCAGACAAAGGATGAAGCAGTGACTCCAGAAGTGACAGCGTCTGATCTCTCACTTCCTGTTATTGAGCCATGTGCCAGTAAACCTACATGTGTCTTCCAGCCTCCAGGCCCAATGTTGAGTCACTTGGAACTCATTACGGACTGTGATATCTGTCTTCCTGAGGTTACAGTGAAGCTGAGTGCTGGTAGTGACGGTATAGAAGTCTCAGGAGAGTCTGTGGACAACGAGAGCATGGGAATGACTAAACCAAAGTCTGAGGCTGATGTCAGTTTAGTAGTGGATGAGACTTGTGCAGAGCAAGAGTGTAGAATTTATAATTTGAAAGCTAATGTTGAGCTTGAACAGTCTCCTCCTGTTCAACCTCAGGGTTTAGTAGATACAAAAACTGAACCAGAGTCTGTTGTAGTTGCACCACCAATCTGTGACTCATCAGTTAGGGATGATGCCATAAAACGGGGCCTATTAATCAGTTCTGACCTGCCAATCAAAAAGGGTTGTGATGAAATTAAAGAAGAAACAAAAAAGAAACATAGCAAAGAAGAAGAGACTTTAGAGATGCTCGAGAAGGAGAGAAACGATAAAGAAAAAACAATGGAAAATCTTAAGGCAAATGTTCTTAGCAGCACTCTGCAGACAGAACCGCTGCTACAACCTATTAATGAGGTAGATAAAGAAGAAGCAGGGGGAACTGGAGACATGCAGCCACCAGATAATTATAAAGTAGAACACTGTGAGCCACTAAATGATATTATGGACAATGGAGAAGGGAAAAGTGGAATTGCATCTGGGAGTGGGACAGACGTTTGTTCCAGATCTCCTGAGAGACCACCAGGGTCGCTGGAAGACATGCCTGACGCCCAGTCGAAAAGTGAACCACAGACTGGTTCTGATGTGACATTGCACCAAACTCCAACAGTAACAGTGGAATGCAACTCTGCCAAGAACACAGCACCAGATCTGGAGGCCATTCCTGGCCACTCACCAGATCCAAACAGTTTTGCTCAGCAAAAAGAGGAACAGTCACAGTGTCAGGAACCAAGACATCCCACAGTGGACTTGAGTGAAGAGAGTAACATTCAAAACACTCAGGACTCTCAGATCCAAGAGCTTGTGCCAAGAATGAAAGAGGTAACTGAAAAGGTCTCAGGTGGGGGTTTGTGCCAGACAGAAGTCATAGTGAGTTTGACTCCTGATGACAGCAAAGATAAAAAAGTAGGGGTCAGTCATGAGGAAAGAGATAAAGAGGAAGAAGAACCTGAAAAAGAGGCTGACGGCGTCACTGTGACATCTCAAACTAACAATGATGTTGATGACATAATGACAACAACAACAACTCTAACTGTGGATGCTGGTTCAGTGCCAGAATGTGAGTCTGCAGCTGACGTGGTTGTTAAAAGTCAGCAAGAAAGCAATCTGTCAACTACATGTCAAGACCAACATATAGGAAAACCTGAGAATGCAAACACTGCTGCATCTGTTGAGTCTTCATCACAGCAACATGATACTTCACCTTTGCAGATCTCACATTCATCAAAGGTCAGCACAAAGGCTACTCCGTGTGAAAACCATGCTGAAGAAACGAACACAAAAATATTAAGTGCTCCACCGAAGCCTGTTCAACCGACAGGAACACTGGAAAAGGATTTAATCACTTCTGTGACTGGTATAAGCAACAGTGGAGGAAATGAACAGTGTGATATTAAGGTTTCAGAATCTCAGCCTGCTGAGCTAAAAAGCAGCCATGGTGAACAAACGCCTATAAAAGGCACTGATGTAGAGGAGTTCACAAGGGAAGATGAAACAAATTTCGACAAAGAGAAAGCTCGCAGCCAGCGGAACGAGCAAAGTGAGATAGAAGCAATAAACGAAGCAGCAGAAAAACACAGGGACGTAAATCAGCGCCTGAGTGCTGAGGACAGAGACAGGGGTTCAGTGAAAGCTCCAGACCACTGGGGAACAGGGGAGTCACCCAGCAGCACACGGAGTGCTGTTTGTCATTCTGGGGGGAACACTGCCTCCTTCAATGCAGAGTCACTGTGTCTACAAGATTCATCCTCAGCTGCTCCACCAATCCCTACGACAGGAGAGAAGTCACTCAATCAGGCGTCACCGTCAAAGCCAGGAGATGATGCTGTGACAAACATAACTAATGCTGCTCCGGAAGTTGAAGGAGAATCACTGAATGAAGCCGCTACATGTGTGTCTGTGTCAGAGAGTCCTCATGCTGAAAAACCAGCTCAGCAGCCAGAAGCAAACTGGATTCAAGCCTTAAAAGAGGCTGCGGCCAGCAGTCAGACTGACCAACAGGTTATTACAGAGGAGACCATAAGGTAAACACAAGAGCACGACTTTGACGGAAATATATCTACTTTATGACACAAAGATAACACAGACACACACACACTAAATTACACCAGTCAGTAAAACAAAAACTTTCAATGTGTATGTGTAATAGGTCCTCAGAGGCAGTAATACTTGAGACCCCCACTGGTAATGTGCACCACAGTGTAGTGTAGTATCCAATATAATGACCCATTCACAGATGTTCTCATAAATCTATAAAACACAGAGATTTAAGGCTGATTTCTTGAATATACCTGTCATCGTGTTATCACAGTGTTCACAGTGAACCTTGGACTTGAGTTCAGGAGTCAGTAACTGCACCCAGGCAGAATTAGGTTTAAAAAGAAAATTAAAATTAAGTTTACTTTCATTATTATTGTCTCTGTTTTCAATGTTATATATCCATGGTCTGTTTAAGAGCTTTAAATATTTTATATTCTTGTTTTGACATATTTTGGTAAACTATCAAAAGTTCCTCCTGTAATTCAGTGCTGCCCTTGAGGGTGGCTGTATCAGTACTACCTACTGCCCTTCTTCAAAACTGGAGGGTTTTGGGTTTGATCCCCAAAACCCAAAACCTGTAGTGTAATAGTACAAACCATTCACTTTAATTTTACTGAACTACAAACGCAGAATTTCTGTATTTGTACTTGTGCAGTATTATTTGTATGAAGGTTCTGCAAGCTTAAACCAAAGCTGTGAATGCTTTTTAGTAATTTAAAGAACAATTTAGTTTGAAGGATATACTGTATGTCTCTCTACATTTGTACAGCAGGCCATTACATCAATTATTCTTCAAAAGGACTGTATATGCAGACTCAGTGTTTCTCATCTTTGGCACACAGACCAAGATGTTTATTTGTCCTTGAGGTAGGGGAAAAATGTTGACACATTTTACGAGCCTTCACACCTAAACCTAGTATCAGTTGACCCAGTTATTAAAGAACCTGCCAGGAAGTTTCTCATATGACACTATCAGTTTGAGTTGAGTTTTCAGTGTGGAGTTGCCTATAAAATACAGATTCAAGTGATTTATGAAATGGTGTTTTTAAGTGTTTTCCAGCATTGCAGTGCAATTATGGTCTAGAACTTGTGTAATATATGCAGAGCATGTGTCGATGAATATGGATGAGGAGGAAAAACACAGAGCTACACTTTCTATTGATTTGGACTGGAGTCAGATGACTGTGTCTGTTGATGGACGTGGTGGACATACTGCAGGTCTCTTTATTCAAAGGATGACATCAGCGGTGACATCCTTCCTGGTCTCCAGGGTCTGAATGAGTCTTTTCATCCCCCACACAAGACTCTGCTCATCACAATGCAGTAACAACAGCTACAACAATACAAACACGCCTGTATCTACCATGGTCTTTCACACTGACAGAGCCACATGCACATGCTGTAAGTTTAACCACACCCTTTCTGACCTCCCCTTTTTGTTTTGTTTTTAAGAGCCCTCCCGTCCCTGGAGTCTCCTCAACTTCAGTTTCTCACCCCATCCGAGGACCAAGCTGCTCCCAAGAGACAGGAAGAGGTCCCAACACCAGAGGTCACAACAACAATACCACCTATAAATGTGTTGAAAAAGCCAGTGGATCTTCCTCAACCTCTGAGGAAGTGTGTGGACCTCCCAGAACCACGACAACAGACAGTACCACCGCAAGGCACCAAAGAGGAACCAACCAAAAAAAAGGAGCGTTCAGTAGATATTCAAGAACCAGAAGGAGAAGCAGTGAAAGTAGGAATATCTAAAATCCTAGAAGACGAAAAAGGCACAAAGAAGTTCCAAGAGCAATCCATAAACGAGCTGCCAGGAGACTTGGTGGAGAAACCCGTGGAGATCCAACCCGAAGAACCATTTATACAACCCAGTGAGGAAATTGTAGAGACAGAGGCGGATCAAGATCCTGCTGAGGAGCAACCGGACTCCAGGTGAGCAAGTCTTATTACTGTAATACTGAACCCTCAGATGTGAAACTTTAAAATGCATTTTTCATGATTGGGATAAGAAAAAAACTTTTTTTTTTCCTGTTCAACTCCAGTCCGTTATTACTAGCCAAAATTATGACTTGACACTTCATGTCCAGTAAAATATGTCCACAAAACCTATTTTACTCCTGACCAGCATCTTTTCTTTCAGGTCATATCTGGATCTTTTAAGCCTCCGTTGAATAATATGTAAGGATTATAGCCTTTAAGCATTAGTAACAACAGGCTAACGGGGAGACTTGTAATTTTGTGGTCAACTAGTTTTCCAGAGAGCAACCATAAACCAGAATGATTTGTACTTGACTTTTAAAGACCTGGTAGTTTTCCTGAAATTCTATCATAACATTTCCAGCACTGTAATCCAGGGGCAATTTATTACAGAAAATTTATTTGTTAAACTGACACATTGCCCTGTCTGAGACACTTGAAATTAGATTTCCATGTGCTGAGCGAGTCTACATGGTGGCTTCACTTACCCTTCAGACACTGGGTGTCTGATTCATGTATTTTTTTTTCAACTACTTTTAACAGAATGGGGCAAATGAGAAGGTATCTTACATATTTGTAGAGGTAAAGGTCATGGCAATGGATTTATGTTCTGACATTTTGATGTTCACTTTGATCTCAGGGGTAGGAGAAAGAATAGCTTGAAAAACCATTCCACACGTGCCATTATTTCTTCTAACTGGCTTCAGCATTTTTCTATAGAATTTTAACATCTATCAAAGGGATTTGTCACCAAAGTCCAGACAGTTTCTCCTCACCCTCTCCTGCTGTGTGCTGCATGCCCAGAAACCAGCCCACATGCCAGAGATACACTTGCTGCCTGTCAGTCACAACACTTGTCCCGTCTGCTGGGACGAGGTTTGTTAAGAGCAGGAGGGGAGGAGAAGACAGTGCTATTTCCACTATAGGTTTCATCAATAGCTAAAGTTACACTCACTTATGTGTGGCAGAGACAGTAATGGGACTGCCTGGTCACTGATGTGTGTGTGTGTGTGTGTGTGTGTGTGTGGGGGGGGGCGGCGAGCGGTAAGGGGAGTTTTCCCCCTCCCACAGAGGCCGACCACGCTGTCACTCCTGCTCAGTCTGTGGGGCTTTGTGAAGTGAAGCCTGTAGTGGGAGGAATTTGGGCAGGCTCTCAGTCCCACTCAGTTATTTGCACCGTCCAGACAGAGTGGAACAAAAGCCAGAATTCAGTAGAAGACATGAGCATGTGCTGTGACACGAGTGTGTGTGTATGACAAAGTCATAGTACACAGGGCAGGAATCTTTACGTATGTACATCCTTTATCTCTGTGTGTGTGTGATGGATTCCTTCATGGCTGTGAGCTGGGTGAGTTGGAGAAAATTCGCTTTCTTCTACAGCGTGTTAAAAGTTTTTCTAAGTGGATGCAACAGATGGTCAGTAGGTAACTGGGGCTAATTAGACTCTGCCGGTGCTGACCTCACCAGATGGGCTGTAGGAGAGGGACACAGAAGAAATGTGAAATTACATGTACTATGGAAAATACAGTGTGTCAGAGATACATGTGTTGTACTCCCCTCATTGAATCAGTGATGGCATAGACATCACAGTATATGGGTAAATCAGACAGTACTGAGACAAATTATTATTTCTCTATAGATTCTCCAATCAGGTCTAAACATGCCTCTAAACTGAAAATTCCAGGTTCCATTCAAATTTTGATGGTGATGGGTTAAAAGCAGAGGTCACATTTTGTTGTGTGCAGTGGTGTGCTGTGTCACAATGACAAGGAGTTCACTTTACCTTTGTTTATGGAGTTGTTTATCATTTAGTCACACTGCCTGGAACTTCAGTATTCTGCTACTGTAGCACTTGTTTCCTGTAGATTACACTGCAGTCTGGCATGTGAGGCAAAACGACTTCTGTTTATTCAACCCTCCATCATGAAAGTGGCGGTTTAGACTGATCATCTGGATTGTGTTGTCGAAGTGGAACAGTAGTTTATTTTCCTTTCAAGCGACGGCCTCAAGTGATTGGTTCAAACCAGTAAATTGATGATCCCTTTGCTTAAGGCAAGAGCTCTAACCGCTGATTCACAATGTTTCCTGGCCCAAATCTTTATGAAAAATGAATTCCTCCTATAACTAGGAGAAAAAAGAAATTCTGAGCTGAATGTGAGATAGAGGTGAGTATGCAGTGGAGCAGACCTACAGGTTTTACATTACTTCTGTGATTCTATTCTCATTGTCTGTAACAATGACAATCCCCAGGCTGTAGTACAGTATATGATATTATCCTGTCTCCCATTTTGCCACTACCCACCATTTGAGAAACACTGTGTTTTGAGCCCTCTGTACTGCTAAGTCCCCAACAGTTACCATACATCTACTACATGCTGTTCATTCATTCTCAGGTAGTATTATGGTAGTAAATGTCAGTGCTTGTTAATACACATAATATCTAAAGGCCAATTTTTGTCGTATCATTAAATACAACCACTCCATCTTACAGGCACTGAAGAAGAAAATAGTAAACACTTCCCTGGTGACCAGCTTTGTCTCAGTTTTTTCTTCTACATTGTTGCCTTAATGTGTTTCTGGTAATTATATTGAAGCTGCTGTGGTTTTAGAGGTTGGGTCAGATGTTCTTATGACTTTGCTTCTGTTTCTAGAGTGCATGTGCAGAGTTGGTTGCAGATGCCTACACACATTCAGGTCACATTCAGGTCTTGGATTTGTAAACAGAGGAATGGATCCATTTCAGCAGTGTGATTTCACTTTCTTGCCACCACATATACTGTAACAGACCAAGAGGAACCAGACCTGTGTTAAACATTAACTCTGATGTTAACGCCTCTAAGAAAAACACACACGCCCATTGAACATCGGTAAGTTCTGGGCTTTACTGGAGAAGGAAATGAAGAACAGCAGAACCCTGTTTCAGAAATGAGCTGGAACTGAAATCTGAGGAGTGGACCTGATGCTTGTGCCTTGTAAACATTTGCTAGTTAAAAGTTATTGTTGACTAACTGTTCAATAGAGACGACTGTATGGGTATTTTTAGAAGGGAAACAGAAGGCATGCCTCGAGTGGGTAACAGCTGCCTGGGTGTCCATGTTGTTGCCTGTCAGATTAGAGAACTGTCTACTCTTGATAAGAGTGCTGCCAAATCCACTCCACCAGGTGGAGGGTAGAGATGACAGGAGTCTTCAGACTCCATAGGGAATAGAGTGAAGCAGCCTCTCTGTTCCCTTTGGTGATGTTCTGCCCTCCTTCTCCTGCAGTGCCCTCCTTGCTGATCCGTCTCAGGGAGGTGAAGTTTCTCCTACATTTCCTCCACCTCCTCCTCCTGAAAACCTCCTCCTGCCTGCCACCCCTCCTCACCTCCACAGTAGCACAGAGCCCCCCCCTCCTACTCCCACACCCCCAGAGAGGCTTGTGTCTGAAGGTCTGCTGACTCCTCCTGCATCTCCCCTCTTTCCTCCTCCACCTCCACTTCCAGACCACACCTCTCCTCCTGCAACTCCTGCTCACCAGTGTGAGGACCCCTGTCCTGCTTCTGTGCCCCACCTCTCTGCCTTAAGGTATGAACCTGAACCTGTCTGTTCCTGCTCCTCATATTTTACTGTGAAACACTGATCATTTTCAGGGCAGATCTAAGTGCTGGTGTGGTTTGGTGTGTGCTGATCTTCTGGTCCGTGTTATGTGTGATTGCTCTTATATAAATGTAACCATAGATAGAGAAACAGATTAATAATGGAAAATGATGGACATGTGTGCCTTTAATAATATTGCACATGGTTTTCTCACAGCTAAAGCTAAACTGCATGTCTTTATATATTGTAGTAACAACATTGTAATAATAGTTCTCAGGCCCTGATGCAGACGTGTTCACAGTTTGCAATGTTTGGGAGATTTGATTTACAGATTAGAGTCAAACACACAATGTTTTTCATTCCTGACTTTCCTGGTTAAAATGCACTCTGTTAGTGAACAACACACGTAAGCCTTTGTTTTATTATCCTACATGACAGCATCTGTTGAAAATCCCTGCTTCTAACGTAAATAACAAGAACACATTGGATTAGATTGATTCCACTCTAGGGAAATTGATGGTAAAGAAACCAACACAAAACTATATCTATCCATACAAAATGGACTATAAATTAAGCTGAAAGACAGTTTACCTTCCAAATGAATTGCTTGTCAATGTCCCTGAATAAAACTAGCCCTTTTTTGCAGCTAAAAGTATAAATGTATTCATCAACCATACATTATATAGTAACCCTTTGGTGTTGTAAATTAAAATATGAATAGAAATGAATAACTAAATGCAACGTAAATATAAAACAAAAATGAACGAGAATACAATATTCATATTATATTCCGTATATTTATCCTCATCTACATGATGGCTCTGCACTTTAGTTCCCAGACTTTTTCTTGTCACAGGGAATGACTCAGCCACTTTTAAAGTGCGGTCCTACCGGCAACCAGCAGAGGGTGCACAGCCCAGTATTTTCATTTGAGTGCCAGTGTTTTGTGTTTGTTCTGTGAGTGCTGCAGTATATATCAACCTGTAATTTCACAATATCTAGTTATTTGTAGTGCACTGATCAATAAAAAATACACAGAAAAACTGTGTGAAGCAGACAAAATAGGATGATTATTTATTTGTTTTTATATATTTGACGTATAGTATATGTCTCTTGATTACCATCATATACTAGTATCTATACATTTGGTCAAGGCATATAAAAGTATTTTAATCTTAACAAGAAACTCACATGAACTTTGACTACTAGGTTTATTATTGACGTTTAAGAAGGTCACAAGGTCAGTGGCAAAATATCTTGAAGCGTCCTTCTGTAACTGAAATTACTGCTGCTATTTTTATCGTCATAATTTTAAGGAAGCAGGAACAGCTGAAGTTGAACAGTTAAGAAGAGATAAGAAGTAAGACCAGGATGGTTTGGACATGTGCTGAGAAGAGATAGTGGAAATATTGGACAGATCATGTTGGAGTCAAATTTGCATCCCGGCCCAGAGAGACTTCGTGGATGTAGTGGAGGACATGGACGTGGTTGATTGTTCTTTTTGCGAACAAATCACAACTGCCAAACCTGTTAGCTTCATCCTAAATAAAGAATATTTAAATGATTCACATTTTGGCATTAGGTTGCCTGGTTACCACCTCTTCAAAGCCTGTTGTGAACAAAGTAATGATGAAAAATCAAATTCAAGAGAATTTTACGAGTGAGAAATGCATTTTTAACCATAATAGAAAACATGGTTATAATAAAAAATGCATGCGATTGTTCATAGACTATAAGAGACTTTATTTTTAGACTGACATGTTCAAAGAGCCTATGTTAAACTCCTGCATGCTTAACGCTTGTGCATCGTGGTGACTGTGAGTCTTCCTGAGTGCCTTAATGAATCTTTCAGATAAACCTGCCACGGTCACTTCTCCCTGACACAGGGTTTGCTGAATTTTTCATTTCTTCACTTTCTTTAGTCTGTACTGCAAGGATAGACTCTTCGTGCAGTAACAAAGGGAGGATGTTTGGGCTGAGAATAGGAAGTCTGTACTACACACATGCACACACACAGACAGATCCTTATCTGCCCATATACATCACTGTTGTGTTTAGGGAGTGTGAACTGCATCACCGATCAATATTTCTGCTCTTGTATGAGCCTGTGTTGAAAGTTAGAAGTGAGTGGGCAGTGTTGGACCTGTCCCCCTGGGCTGTGAAACATCGAACAATGGCCTCATCTGAGACCAGGATCACATCAATACATGCTTTAACGGACTTCATGTTTACATGCAAACAGAACCAAGTTTAAAATGTAGTGTTAGCTTGGACTGAGTCTGCCTCCTGTGGACTAGTTAGTGCAGTTCAGTTGGTTCTTGGTTCTTTTAAGAATCTTTACAGAGACCTACTGTAGATAACATCTGACACCTGAAACCTGGACACAGCAGGTTTCTGCCACTACAACTGCTGCAGGCTGCAGTCTCTGTTGTACCGGGTTCTCGTTTTCCTCACTTTCCCATGAGCACACAATGGATTCATAGCTCTCATGTTTCCATGGAGTCACATTCTCAACGCTGCTTGACAATCAATGGAAATTTTTTGGAGCCCGTGCCATATCCCGTGGGACATGTATTCTCTGTATATCACACAGTTGAAAAAAAATCCCCCAAAACAAACATGAAATATTGGCTGATACAGCAAGATATAATATAGATACTGTAGTTCTCTTCCCCGCATTGATGAAACTGGGTGAAAGTGCCAGGAAGAAGGGATTTGACATTGAACCACTTTAAGTCAGATTTTTTATTTATCACTGTGATTATAGCTGCAATTTCAATGTAGATAATAATTTATGAATTAAAGTTCTTAGGCTGCTTAAGTGTAGGACTTACTGTAGTGTTTTGGTCAAAGATGGAACTTGTTCAATTCCAAGATCATCTTTGTACAATCACATTATAAGTATGACTGACTTCTTTTCAGTTTGTCCAAATGTGTTTACTTTTGCAATATTCATGTTACTGCTGGGTTTGTTTGAAACTGATTATAACTGAGCCTCACTCACCCACACTGACCCACACAGGGTCCTCCATATACATTCTATTTCCTCAGAGTCTTTTGTTTACTTCAACACTCTGGTTGACCATGCTGTGTGCTGGAATCTTCCATTGTGAGAAACGGGGGCAGAACACATAACATTTTCACCATGCAACATAGAGATAAGAGGGGAGGATGTTGTCAGGACAAAGGCGAAAGTAATGGTATGTAATCATGAAAGATATAAAGGAATAAATTGACATTGTGGGGAAAAAAAGCGCCATTCTATTGCCTCGGTTGTTTGGGGGTTTGCTATTGTTTGCCCCTGCTGCATTGTGGAGGTAATGGAGAGCGGAAAAAAAACAGCCTGTCTTTTTAAAGGCACAGGAGGCTGCTGTCAGGGGAGAGAGTGGAGGAGAGAGGGGGGAGGAGGCAGTTAGAGCAGCAACACAGCTCAGTGATATCAGAAACCAAACAGAGAGAAGGAACATCACATTCACAAGCAGCACAGCAGGATTATCATTCAGCTGCGTTATTTGCTCTGGATCTTCTTTTCCTCACATTTTCTCTGGTCTTATTCTCGGTGTGACATGATTCCATCCCCCAGATGAAATCGTGGAATGTTGTCATATCAGGGAACCACGCACGCTGTGGCTACAATGAGGAGCTCAAGTCGTAATCTTCCACAGCTTTCCCTGTGATGCAGGCTGGTCCGGCTCGTCTTCCTCTGCACTGCAGCACAGTTTTTTACTCCGCTACTCTGACACAAGCCGCCTTTTCTGCAAAGATCAGAGTCGGAGCAGAGGTAGCCTTTTCTTGGGGGGGGTAGAAGCAGGTGAATGTTGCCAAGGAGCTGGAGAGTAAAGCAGTCTGGGGGAGGCGGGGGGGCAAAGCTAGTGGAGGATGGGAGCCAACGAGTCCATGGAGCAAGGACAGACCCCCTGTCCCACTCAGGAGCACATGTGAGTCTGGTTTGACCTGCTCTTCCCAATGTGTCACATGTGAGCTCATGTGAATGTAATGTTTTTGTGTCAGTTTTGTGCCTAAACATTTATGTAATGCATTGTGTTTTCATTTTTCCACCTAAACCAATCCTAGACCAGAGCAGCAGAGTGTCGTCACCGTGCTGTGTGTTCTTGGGATGTAAATACAGGATGAGAACAAGATCACATGCATGGGCACATGAACATTAGTCCATGTAGGAACTGTCACAGAGGAGGAACAACAGTGTTCCAGTTTAACCTGTGGGAATGGGATCTAGGTAATGAGTACAGTCAGAGCCTGTGGGAGGCTGGTGGGGTGATGTTATGATCCTGAGTGAAGGAGGGCATGTCTGCCTCTGTGGGAGTAGGAGCTGGTGACGTTGGCGAAGTAGAACGTGCTGAGTGGAGGGTGAAAAAGAAAAGTTGGTAAAAAAGCAGTGATTGAGAGAATAAGCAAGAGTTGGTGTCGGAGAGGGAGAGTGTGCTCCAGTTCGCCGTTTTATTTTTATCACATATCTGCTTCTTACACTGGGATAGAAGAAGCCACCGGAGGGAAACGGAGTGAGCAGTTAAGAAATGAATGATTCATGGCATCAAACATACATACAGTCGTTCTTCATTTAAAACCACTGCTATATTTAGAGTGGACTGGTGACTAAAAAGCAGCAACAGGATCAATGAGGGTGTCACACAAAAACAATATATTTTACCAAATATTGCACAAATCTGTAGAATAAGACAAATAATTAGTATATAAAAATAAAATTCTTAACATTTCATCTGTGTATGTCCAATCTAAATAACGCCACAAATACTACAAGTAATAATAATAGATTTATTAGTTTTTTCAAACACTCATCACTTGGCACTTTGTTTTTTATTAATTCATTAATTTATGTTTTTAAAGGCCACACATCAGTATTTTCTCCAAAGAGATTCTTCTACTTGTTATACTTGTTATTTCATGTGCCATCTGCTTGGAGTCAAAATCTCAGATTAGGGTAAATAAGGAATTACGTTGAGATTATCTGTGTCTCACACTGTTTTGTCTGGAACTGTGTCAAAAGCATCAATATTTTTTTGTTTTGTCTTCAGGACTATCAGAAGGTTCACAGTGATTCTCCATACGTAAAATAAAAATGTCTAAAAATAAGGAGTCAATGCAGAGTAAGTCGCTGCTGCTCTATAATAACAAAGCCTTGTAAAGCCACATGTTCCTCATCTGTGTGATGCTTCACTGTGTACAGTGGCTATGACGTAGAGTCCTTAGCAGAACAGGAGCTCCCTCTGTTGGCCTGACATCCAGCTCTTTTGTTGTGCAACCAAGACCAGACACATTCTGAAGCTTTTCCAACAAAATGGATTTGTCCAAACTCTGTGCTTTTCATTAGCCTAATTGCTAACAGCAGGACATAAATCACTTTAAAAAGCTGGCTTTTGGAGTTCCTACATTAAGAATAGATAAAAATGAAATAAGACACAAGTGGCACCAGGCAGATAAATAGAGTAGAGATTGATGAAAAGTAAAGAGATTACAAGCAGAGAGATGGGGGTTTGAGGTGATGGAGGCAGCTGTTAATCTATTCAGGTTAATCACATGTCTACTTACAGACCAGCATCCACACACCATTTGTCTATCACTCCACCATCTTTTCATCACCTGCTTCAACCCTACCCAGGAAAATATTCTATTTTATACCAGTGTCAGTGCAGTCAGTTTTCTGAGGAGCACCACTGTCTGTTGCTCCAGAGCTGTGGAAGCTGTTCAGACAGGCTGTGTTGGCTCTGGCTGTGGGAGCAGAGACATGTCTGGCTCCCTGAATCTCAGCGCCTATCTACGTCATGCTGCACAGCCTCTGTCTCCAGGCAGTCATCTCAGTCTCCGAGAGGCTGCTATTAACTGCTCTCTTTGTTTCTATTCGCCCCCATACACCCTTCTGCAGACGGGGTTCCTGCTGTAGCATAGTCTGTTTCTATCATTTAGAAACCACTGGCATGTAGCATCACTGAAGAGAGATGATTTAATTTCAAATGGTTTAGAAGTGTGCACTAAACCTAAACCATAATGCATATATTTAATGACTTCTAATCAGCATCCTGTCCATCAGAAGAGTGTCAGTGAAACGTGTTTTCTGCGTTGTGTGCATCTAGCTATTCAATCTTCAGAGTAAAACATATGGCAGGGACAAGCTCTGGTTACCACAGCAACACAGTGTTTGTAGGCACATAAAAACATGTCCCTCTGCTTTGACAAAGACTTGGTCCTAAGTTTTTATTTTTTGCTGCTCATTTAGTGTTCCCACATCATACCACAGACAAAAACATAATAATTTACATTTGACACAGATCAGAAGGTCATGTCTCACAGTCTTAGTACCTGGTCCAGATGGATCTGCAGACAGACCAGTCAGAGGATCAGCACTGAGGCCTAACAAAGATTACAGCTTTGGTTTCCTTCTCTGCCATATGTTGTCTCAGCTCATATCACAGCACCAACAACAGGGCTGTTTTGACAGTTATTGATCCCAGAATGCACCAGACTTAATAAATATAACTGTATTAAACAGCATTTGGATTTTATTCACTGCTGGTGTTTTGATTTGGCTTTTTAAAAATGTGCCAGACTATAAAAAGCTGTGATAAATGTATTGATTTAAATTTATTAAACTTTATTTAACCAGTATTGGGGCTAGTGCTGTGCAGTGGTGGGTTTGACCTCAGCCTGTCTTCGAATCCCGTTGTGTTGTATGAGTAAAAAAAATCTTTGTCTTTTCATCCTTATGGTGCATTTAATTGCCCCCAGTGGACGGTTGGAGATACCATGAACCTTGAAATTGAGTTGTTTGATGAACTGCTGACAGTGAGGCTTATTTGCTGTTGCTGTGTGTTTAACCTGCCCTATGTTCACATAGGATTAGAACCTCCATCTCTGCTGTTACGTGACCTCAGGGATCGTACACACATTCTCCATGACAACAGTTCACACTCATTTTTATAGAACATAATATTTTTGATACTTTACTGGCTGTAGTACGCCTGCAGCTGTATGGTCTTTTATTTGAGCCGTATTTTATGTGTGCATCTACAAGTCCACACAGGGATGGATGCCTTGAGGTGATCCCTTATAGAGGAATCCAATCAATATTGTTAGTGTATGGGTAGACATGACGTTGGTTCTACAGCAATGTCTCCATTTTCCTTCCTACATCCTCTTTTTGTTTCTTATTGGTGTACACAAAGATGTCTAAAACTGTAGGTCTAAATATATGCCAATCAAAGTACTTTAGTTAGGTGTGTGCAGATAAAAGACCATGATAATACTGATAGCACAGTATACTGATAGTATCACCACTGTTCTTAATATTTGTTCAGAGGGATTAGTGTGATAGAGATGAAGAAAAAGAAAGATTGTTTAGGAAGTTAACTGGTTTTCTGTTTTATAAACAAACATACTGATCATTTGATTGGTTACTTGCTTTTTCCTTTGCGTCTTTGCAACACAGGGGTTTAGAATGGAAGGAGGGAAATAAAGAAAAACTAAGGAAAAGGGGTTGGGTGGTGGGTGGTGGTGGTTGTGGGGGGCGGGGGGTACTGTGCAAGAGCCTGCAGAATGCAGGAGGTGACATTCTGTAGGCAGTCTCATTTCCTACAGCGGAGGAAAAGGAGACATACTGATGTGGATACAGACACCAGAGAGAAATATAGGGCAGTAGACTGATGATAAAGGCAGGTGCTGGGTAGAACATAGAGAGAACAGGGGGAAGGCAGGTGGAAGGCTGCACACTCTGAGGAGTCGTCTACCTGTAAGTCGGGCAGCAACAGCATCAGCATCAGCATCAGCAGCACTGTGGTGTTGGGAGGTGTAGCCCTCTAGCAGCCATGGCAGTGAGTGCGTGGCAGGCTCTGTCTCCACTGCAGTGGGCTCGATGGGGCTGGGATACTCTGCTGGGAGGGGCAGGGGACGGAGACAGTCCGAGCTCGGATCCAGCTCTGGGGCTGCTTCGGCGTCTCTCCTGGGGCTCTTACCATGACGGCATGATCAGGGCTTCTGGAGAGCCGGTCAGACAGAGGTGAGGCGTTATGGTGACGGATGTTATTGGTAATTAGTAATGGATTAGTGGGCTTTATTTTTAGGTTAGGGTTTATGCTTGGCTGTGATTTTGGATACATGTTTTATATGGATTGTTTTTTTTCTTGAAAGATAATAATTATTTTTATTGTCAGTCTGTTGTTTTACATTTGCATACAGCTCGCGCGCGCGTGTGTGTGTGAGAGATCATTGCTGTGTGGCTCAGGTGTCTTAAATGTGATGTCAGTTTTCATCATTATCTTCCTAAAGCAATAAAAAAAACTAAATAGCTTCCATCCATTTGATGTACTGTTTAAATAAAATAAAATCTATCATAATATACACTCACCAGTTGCATTGTCCACTTCACTTCAGATACATCCTGCTATTACCAGGTGATGTCTCATTGAACTTAATTTTTATTTACCCTCGTTCTTCAAGAACATGTTACAAACATTTCCCTAACGTTTGACTCCATGTTGACATGAATGCCCCCGATAGCCTCTGCAGATTTTAACCTGCACATTCTTGGTGAGAATCCCGTTTCATCAGTTTCTCAGTTCGGCCGGTGAGGTCGGCTGATACATTGACATGAAATATTTTCATTGTCACTTAAATCACCTGTCTTTTCATGGTGTGTGGAACCCATTGATTTTGATTACTCTGCTCATCATCACAGCTCCAGTGATGTCTGTGTTTCACAGCAGCCTTGACTTAATATTTCCCACTCTGTCCTCTGTTTAAGGAGCTCGGATTCTGAGGGAGCCTTTGAGACTCCAGAGTCTACAACTCCAGTCAAGGCTGCCCCTCCCACGGATCTTCAGATCCAGCAGCAGGCATCTGATGACAAAGACACAGTAGGAAGTAAGTATTCCTTATTATGACGTAACTGTAGCTCAGTACAACATTTGAACAGGTAGGGTAGAAAAAAGGATAAGCATAGTAGTTTGGCACCATCTAGTGGACAAAGAAGGACAGCTTTATCATTATTCTTTAAAATATGAACAGTATTAAACAAACTGAAACAAACTTCTGATATGTATTACACATCACTCCATCTTTTGCAGCAGGCACCTCCATCACAGATCCTGTCCAGGAAGTGACATCAGCTGATCTGCCATTTACTCCAACTAGTACTTTTGATGAGAACAAACCCATTGCAGCCAGTGGTTCATACAACTTTGACCTTCTTTCTTCAGATTCAGCAAGTCACACACTCACTCGTTCCCTCAGCTTTCAGGGGGCAGAGGTCGACAGCTCTGGTCAGACGGATCAGTCAGCAATTGGTTTCCGACCACATTCAGAATCCTTCAGTGTAGGCACTGAGAGCGCCCCAGGGACACTCCATAGGCCCAGGAAAGTCCGCCCTGGGTCTTTGAAAAAGAAACCTCTTCTCAGACAACAGTCCAACCCGGAGAGTCCCCAACCCGACTCATCTAGCAGCACACCAGAGCTCAAGAAGAGAGGCAAATCTAGAACTGCTAGCCCTCTCCTGGTTCAAGAGGAAGCAGAGGTTGGATCTGCAACCTCAAGTCCTGGCGGTACACTTCTAAAGACCAGGAAGGGCCACATTGAAACTCCACCTCCTCTTCTAGAGGAGACCAGTCAAACCAGCGAAGACAAAAGTCCCGTCATTCCTGTCTTACCTCTATGCCACGAAGAGACACCCCTCCCTGATAGTGCCAGTGTCAAAGAAGAGTCTCCCATCCCACCCGGTGCCTCCTATAAATGGGATCCAGATAACTTTGAGAACATCAACCCCTTCAGTACTGGAGGTAGTAAAATTGCCAATTCCCCTGTACTGGGTCGTAAAGATCCTTTGTGTGTCTCCGCTGTCGTCTCAGAGTGTCCCCCTGTCCCCATTGAGAAGCCACCTCAACCCTGTCCCACCGCTAGTCCTCCTGCACATGAGCCAGTCACTGGTCCTGAAGAGCAGCCAATCCTCCCCAAGAAACAGCCAGTAAGGCTGGAGTTTGACTACTCAGAGGAGAGTGGTGAGCACCAGGCCTCTACCCCACCAAAGAAAGTGGGCAAGAAGTCTGGTGCCAAGATGCCTCTGAGGAAACCAAAGTTGGGGCTGAAGAAAGCTCCTCCAGCACAGACGGAACAGCTGAACAATGACTCTCCAGCGACCCACAACGGCAATGAGGATGAAATCGTAGTCCCTAAAGCATCTTACAACTTTGAGCCCGACAAGTGGGACGATCCTAATTTCAACCCATTTTCCTCCAAAAAAGGAATCAGCAACTCCCCAACAATGTCCAGACAGTCTTATAATTTTGACCCAAACAACGGTGATGATTCTATAGACCTGTTCAAATCCTCAAATAAGATGTCCAACTCCCCTCCAAAGGCCTCTGCCACTTTTGAAATTTCATCAAATGACAATGACAATGAAAATGACAATGATAAGATTGGAGATCTGGAGGACCAAAACCAGAACAAACCTGCAAAGAAGAAGAAAACTCCAATCAAATCGTAAGTGCACACGTTACTGAATGAGTGCAGTGTTACTTTGCTTTGAATGTCTGGTCTCTAGATTTAGTCTTCTTGTCTACCATGCTATGGGGTGTCCTCTGTCTGTCTTTCTGTCACCTGTGTCTGTGTGTATTTTCGTATGTCGCAGGAAGTCCAAGCGTGTGTCCTCTCTATGTTGTCTGTTGTAAGTACAGGGGAAAAAAAGCTATCCACACTTTTCTGACCCGTTCTTACTTAAACTCAGCATGTGGCCCAGATGATGTCCCACTTCATGCTAACAGTAACACCGAGGTCCTGTTTACCCACCATCAAATAATCCAGTTTAATGTTGTCCCTTTTAATGTTGAACGCACAACACGACACATTCTAACATTATAAAGTGAAATATTTTGAAAAAATTATAAATTTTAATTTAAACAAACCATCAGTATTGCACAGCAAACTGCTCTATTTGACAAAGTCGTTTTATGAATATATAGCACCCCCTGCAGTGGAGACAGATGACCTACATGCTCTCTGTTCTAACAGAATAACAAAGTCAGCACCAGGAGGTTGAAGAATCTCTAAAGGAACAGAAATTCAGGAAAAGTGGGTTAGTGCCACCTAGCTCTTTCTCCTGCAGGGGGTGCTGCAGCATTAGTAGTTGAATGTCATGGTTCATGAATTAAATATTTGCACCTTTTCTGCACGGTTTTCAAAAGAGACGTATTGACAGAGCAGTAAAAAAGCACTTCACATCACAGAAGAAGATGTTGAAGTAGTACTTTTACAGTGTACTGCAGTTCTGAGTGCCTAAAAATAAATAAATAAGCAAAGGCAAACAGCAGGATTCCTGCAGATAATCAAACAATCTCAATAAGGTATTATTTAAAAACAAACAAACAAAAAAGCTGCAATTTTTTGTAACATTTTCTTTTAATTTGGAATATTACCAAACTCTTTTTCTCAAACAGTTTTTTTCTAGTGACAGTCTAGTGTGTAGGCACTTTAACTTTCTCACTTTGACCATTTGCTGAATAAACGTGGGCAACATCATTGTATATGTAACACTTTTAATACTTTTCAATATATTCAGAAATACACAGATAACAATAATGCATTTAAAAAATGTAACATTGTATTAAATTGATTGTATTCCTGTTTTGTAATTTTTACAATGTTATATTCACTTAACCTAAAAGCCTCCAATGCAACAGAAAGTACTCAATGGCTGGAGCAAGCAAATGCATTTTTAACAATCCAGGCCAGAATATGTCTGTTACCAAACATATAAAGCCTTCTTCATAATCAGTTATCTGCTTAGTTAATTTACTCATAAATGCATAGATGTAGCCAGGAGTTCCACATTTGAGGCAAAGTTAGAGTTAAAGAGTTACTTAATAAACTAATAAACTTTTTTGCACAGTTGGTGACTTCAGATCTTGACTTTTTAAAATTATTTTTTCTCAGTAATACTTTCAGAGTGAAGAGGTCTCCAAAGAAATCACCCCTATCTGATCTGGCCCAGGTGTGTAATATTTCATATTTCTCCACTTGACCATATATTTATATACAGATACTGATTTATTTTGTGTTATGTGTTACAGGATCCTACACAGGCAGATGAGCCTTCCGTCCTCCAGTCGCAGGACGACCATGCCACAGATGAGGAGAAGTTGGCCTCTTCCACTAACCACAAGTGGGCTGCCCGGCATGACATGGACAATGATTTGGACTCAGATCGACCGTCAGCCTTTGTTAACGAGGACAGTCTTCCTCATCAGAATATAGGTAGGTGGGGCTCAAATGTTCTCTGTAGTCAGTTATTGTCAGATTATACTGTATATGGTTAAAACCTAGGGTTGATGTTTGTATGTACAGTAGGTACAGCCTCTGGTTTAAGTTTACATAATGTCAAACATGTGCAGTTCCTGTCGGTATAAAAATCATTGACTTTTCTTGTAGTATTGAAAAAATAAAGCCTACTGTTCTGTAGAACGTCTCCAGTTTGTGTCAGTCATGAATGAGAAGACCTGTCTCAGTCTTTGATTCCATCAGCCCACAGTCTGACGTTTACTAAAATCTCTGTGGGTTTGTGTTTCTGCTCAGAGCCAGACTATGAAATAGAGTACATGGAGAAGATTGGCCCCTCTGGGAATGTGAGTAATTTTGTGTAATCGATATTTGTTTTGTAATAAAAGACCGTGCTGTTGACGTTTGTTAATTTAACACACTGCTCTGTCTCTTAGCCACCGGCTGTGAAGAAGCCATCGTTGTACCTGAAGCTCGATTCGGTCACTGACAGCTTGACCAATAATACGGGTGCGCGTGGATCTGAGCCCAGCTCCCCCTGCACAGGGTACAACACACTAACACAACACTGTTGTTGTAGAAATATGTCAAGTAGAGTGTGCACATTTGCTGTCTGTGCTTCATGATTCATTCTGCAGCTTTAAGCCCAACATTGTTTTACCAATAGTGAAGGATGATTTTTGACCTAAGTTTTGTTTGTTTTTTGTATATTTTATTTGTGTTTCATTATGTAAGGTAAACTCAATAGTTTCATTGTATTGTCTACAAAGTACTTTCAGAATACTTATGTTTTCAGTTGTGCTATATTTAACTCTCTCTCTCTCTCTGTCCCTCTCCCTCCCTCACCCTCTTTCTCTCCCTCCTGTATTTCCTATTCAGGAGTTTTGAAGAGATGGAGGCCCAGATCACTGCAGGTATGAAGACACCAGTGTTGAGTTCACGTCCTGGTCCTGAAGGTTCTTCTGGGGACCAGAGCAGAAAGAAAGAGGCGAAGTCACTGAGTAGAACAGAGAGCACAGAGAGGGAGGAAAAGGTGAGTCCCACACTCTCATGATGATTCGGCAGCCTTCACTTCTGTCATTTCTGTGTTACATGTTGTCTCCATCATGTAAGACAAAGTTGTCCGTTTTCTCGTCACACCATTTTCACCATGTTGTTGTTTAGCCACAGTAAGGGGCACAGTTGTGTCATAGCCCCCCTGTAGGATCCGACTCAGGTCTCAGCCAGTTATGATTCCCATTATAGCCATGGCACTAATAACAAATAACCAGTTCACTATTATGTACAGTACATCCTAACTAAACTAAGAGACTCAGCTCTAGATGCTGCCACTTAAAACACACACTGCTTGCTTTGCCCTGCTGATCCCTGCCCTCCCCCTGCCCTCCTCCTGGTGCCATTATAGTCCTCTGGCCAGGGCGCCATGGAGGCTCCTGCTCCTGTTCTGGCCATCCCCCTGTTAGACAGGCTGTCTGACTGTGAGGATCCCCTGCAATACCTGGAGCCTGACCTGGCAGAGACCAACCCCACTGCTTTCGCCCAAAAACTACAGGTGTGTTTGCAGACCACGGATGACAGAATAATTCTTTTAGGCCATTTGTGGCCCTGATGTGTGACAGCGTATGTTCTTGTCTTAACATTATTCCCATCCTGCACATTCACTTTCCCACTTTTCATCCTGATTTCAACTTACTCTGTAAAACACATTGTGCTCAACTCTTTCTATATATATATTTTTTCTTTGCTCTCTCATCCTTGGGCCGCAACTCCTCTTCTCCATCCTTGAAATTCATCAACTTCCTTCCAACCCTTACTTTGAGTGCGGCCCAGGAGGAGCTGGTACTTGCAGCCTTGAGGATAGAAGCTCTGCAGGTAGCCAAAAACATCTCTCAGTGCCCCTCCCTCTTCACTGTAACCCCACAGGTACTGCGCTGAGTCAGCCTGCACCTGCTGTATGACCGTGTGTGTGTGTGCGCAGAACAGCTGAGCTGCATCTCAAATTGAGTATAATCATAGATGTGTGTCATGATACATGACAGTGAATGCAGTTTGAGTGTGCCTCATCCTGCCTGTCACCCTCCCTCAGCACAACATATGGCCTTTTTACTACAATGGCTGCAGCACAGCATCCATGGTCCTGCCTCCTGTCCAGCAGCCCTGACATATTCAATCTGTAACATGGCTTAATGTGTCCAGCTCCCATCCCAGACCAGCATCCAGTTTAACTGCTTAGAATCAGAGTGTTGTGCCTTGTTAGTGCCCTGCCGTTGTGCATGTTGGACAACATCCATGTTGTCCACACAGGCTTACATGAATGTGACTGAGAGCGTCTCATAAATATACAGTCTGAGCCGATAATACACACAGTTGACAAATGTCCGGTTTAATATGTTGTGTTCTAATTACAGAACTATATTGATGTGCTGTCACTTACTATTTGTTCTAGTTCTAGTGGGGAACACAGCCTGGCTAATCAAATCTAAAGGGTTCCACTGGTTCCTCAACTAAACACCGCTGCAGGTTTTCAACTAATTCAAAGTAAATCGTTAGCATAAAAATGAGTTTTTCGTTGTTGGCAGTTAAGACTATTACGACTCTTTCCACCTGTACAGCTGCAGTCTAAGGCTGTAGTGGCAGATACAGAATTTGATCTGATGTGTGGAGGAACCCACATGAAGTAACTGGACTTTGCCTTAGGCTCCAGCAGGTTCCAAGTGGATTCAGCTTTGGTGAAACACTTGTTTTATTTAGATAAAGCCATAGGTCGGTCCTCAGCCGTCCCTATGGGCTCTAACAGTTAGACTGGACAGCAGGTTATGAATTTATTGAAAACAACTGAAGAAAACAGAGGCATCTGACTTTGTGTACTAACACAAGGCTATTACTGCCACAGTATGTGGGCAGTATTTGTTAAAGAATGGGACAAGGAGGTAAAGGTGCTTCATGTTGGAGCACGTGTTTTACTCTCAGACTAACTGCACTGTACTAACACACAAACACAGAACAACAAATACTGGTTAGGTGTTACTGAAGGAATTTTTTCAAAATAGCACAAGCCTGTTATTATTTGTTCACTTTTGCATAATCAACAGGGAATCTCAGTACAGTACAGACTTAAATAATAATAATAATAATAATAATTAAAAAAGAAACTTCCAGATAATTTGGAACAGGGCTGAGACCTTCTCATCTTCACAGTCTCGTTCCACACGTTTCACAGTTGGAACCCAAGAAACCCCGCACTCGGAGATGGAATTTCTGGGGTTCAGCTTTGTTCAAAGTAAGGGTATCATTACTGCCCCCTGACCTAACCACCGTTTTAATTTGACTACAGTGCAGATTGAAGTGTTTGCTGAAAAGCTCAAGCTTTTTCATTGTTTCTGACTCAGAACACAATAACGAGTACTTTTTTTCCATGTGTAGTTAGTAATCCCTGTCTTATAAAATTTTAATGAAAATGCTGTAAAATAAAGTTGAAAACAAATACAAATACTACTGCTGTGGGAGTACAGAACCAAAACTACTATGCAAATACTTTAAAACTGCACTGTTAAATACTCTAATTCACTTAAACTCCAGAAAATAATAATAATAATAATAATAATATATATAAAGATATAATAATACTTGTAATTTTTTCCTCATATGAATATTTTGTTTCAACAGTTGTAACACTGTCCATGTTGCAGCTTCATTGATGTCCTTGTAAATATTGATAACACTATAGTCACTAAATCATTTTAAGAGCAGGAATTTAAAAAAAATGTTTCTTAAGAACCTCCTAAGTTGTGAGTCATTAAAGTACACTCTCTTCTGTTCACTAACTAATTAATTATTACAGTATTGTCTTTAATATGTCCATTGTATGTAGTACTATATACTCACTAGTACTATTTTGTCACTATAAAAGACCTGGGATATTATTATCGACAGGTAAGAACAGTTTGGTTTGCTGAATGCTCTAACACGAGACTAATCTCTATGCTGCCCTGTTCTCTCCCCCAACCTCCCTCTTTACTCCCCCTGCCCTGTGAATGATGCAGTCCTGGCTGTACCAGCTGCTGCCCTTCCTCTCTCTGTGCCTTGCCTTGATTCCAGCTACTGTGATGAGGGGCTGATCATAACTGCTCCACCCAGGGCAGCATCAGCCAATCACCAGCATATTATTTTGGCTACGAAGACTGTCTCATCCAATCATAAGGCACACAAACCGAGTCTTCAGGGAAATCACTAACCTGCCTTATTTATTTTGGCTTTCTTGCGATGCTGCCTTGTGGTCTGGGTTCAGGTATTTTGTTGAGAATATCTGGATTGAAATTCATTTTGATTTTTTTTCTTTCTTTGTTCCCTGGAAACAGCACCAAGACCCGCCACCTCAAATAGAGACTTCCGTGTCCAAGAACACACTATACACCAAGACCTCCACCAGCTACATCGAGGGGGAGAGCCCCCACCTGCCTCAGGATCTGGACCACTCTCTAGGAATTGCCAGAGAAGAGGTGCAGCAAGTCCCCCCGTCCCCGTTTTATTCTGTATGTACAGTACTACTGTATGAACATTACTTTTTGTTTTGCCCTATGCAGATAGTGACAAAGGAAAAAGAAGTCCTGGAATGGCAGAAGAAGTATGAGAACAGTCGCCAGGAGGTGATGGAGATGAGGTGACCTGGACTACTCACAACAGCAAACCTAGTGTGAAAAATCACTTAGAATAATGTGTAGTACTCTGATGTGTCCTGGATGATGGTTACAATAGCCACTAAAATCAGTGGCATAGTATTGGTATTGATAGCTTTAGTATCCTAGGAAAAAGTTGGATTGCACCCCTTTGATCAAGAAAAAAAGCAAAACTATGTCACATACATTGACTTCATTTTGACTTTGTGTTATTTACAAGGCTGTAATTTGTCTGTTATTGTCTGTTATTGTTGTTTTAATCCAGTCATTATCATCACAATAATATTATTGCACAGCCATGCACGTCCATCCCCTCACTAAGAATCTACCTTCTCACCCACAGGAGGATTGTTGCCGAGTATGAGAAGACCATTTCACAGATGATCGGTGAGTTAAACTTTGGAAAAGTCACTGAACCAAAGATTAGTGAACTACCTGTCTCTATATCTGTTTATTTTGGTTTTAAATCAGTTATCTTTGTTTCCCAATCACTGCCATCACACTTTTTGCTGCACATGTTTATTTACAACCTGAGCAATAACGATAGTCTGGACTGAATTAATTTTAGAGAAAAAAAAAATTCTATTTGCATGTTTTTCGAATATAAACCAAATCCTTCTATTGTTTCTGGTCAGAGTTTTTCTCACATTTGCCCCCTATTTATTTATTTATAATTATTTTGTTAATGCATTTAATTCCACCCGCCGCCTATGATCTGCTCAGCTCACATCTCCTCTGGCACATCTGGCTAATTTCTGAGGCTTCATTTAATGCTGATGTAAATTTATTTTTCTTTCACACAGAACAAACCAGTCTGTCTGTGCTTATGCCTGTCACTCTGCTCTCTCACCTGTCTCGCCCTCCCAGCTTGATTTAACACAGTCCCTTCTTTTCTGTTCTGCTCCCATCTTTGACCCTAATATTTGATAACACTGTCAGGCATGCCAGGTGAGTAACAAGGACTTATCCTTTACTTTTTGTGTCAGCTCACGTCTCTCCATCTTTCAATGACTGCTGTACTGACTTTTCCATCTCATCTACTGACAGTTGTTTAATCATCATTGCATTGTCGAGATGGTTTATTGTATTTACCGTTGTGTGTGATATGTTACATTTACTATTTAATGTGTATTATTAAATAGTAACATTAATAAATTCAAACCATTTACACCTGTGCATTTGAGACCTTAACGTGTACGCCTGTATATTTATTTAAAGAGTTTAGGATTGTGAACACTTATGGACGCCATTGATTAAAGGTCAATCCTAGGAAGTAAACTGTTGACAGACAGATAGATAGATAGATAGAGTCTAGTTGGGAAAGAAACTCTGTCTTCAATTTAAAAATTGAACTTTATTATGGTTGTTTGTTGTAATTGACTAAATTAAAAAGAAAACACTTGTGCAGGTCTCTTTAACTCCCCCATCGTCCGGTGTGTTTGTTTGCATGTTTCAGTAATGACACAGAGAACCATGGGTGTAAACAGCTGTTCAAGTCATAAACATTTACTAATCCTCTCTGATACTGTGGTGGTGACAATAATGTGCCATTGTATTATACATATATAATACTTATCAGACTGTTCAAGCCTTTAATGTACAGCAGTTTGATGATTTGATGGACTGTTTATTTCTGTGTCCAACAGAGGATGACCAGAAAGAGAAGTCTCTGTCTCATCACACCATCCAGCAGCTGATCATAGAAAAAGACCAGGCTCTGGCCGACCTCAACTCAGTGGAAAGGTCAATGGCCGACCTCTTCAGGCGTTATGAGAAGATGAAGGACATGCTGGATGGCTTTCGCAAGGTGATTCTACACGGATCTGTACTAAAAATAAAATCTTTAGTTTTTAGTCACCCTTAGTTTTGAATGATAAGTGTAGGGCAAGATAATAATAATATTTTTTCTTGGCTCAGAATGAGGAGCTGCTGAAGAAAAACGCTCAGGAGTATCTGTCCAGAGTCCGTAAAGAGGAGCAGAGATATCAAGCGCTGAAGATTCATGCAGAGGAGAAACTAGACAAGTGAGTTCACTCTGATATCAGTCACTGCACGACGCCCAGCTAAAATACTGCAGGTTTGAAATCCATCAGTATAAGTGGAGGTTGTGATGGTGTGGTTGGCGCCAGGGCTCAGACAATAATGGGTCAGAAGTTTGATTTCAGCTTTTGTGCTGATGTTCCCTGAAGCAGAACAAGTCACCAATGGGATAAATCTGTGTCAAATGTAGGTCAGCTGGTAGTACAATGTGATTTACTGTACTTTTTACTCAGGTTAGAGTCAGTGGTGGAATGTGACATGCCTTCCATGTGGCTGTCAATATTACTGAATGATCAAATATATTGGAATACAACTTCTATGTGATATTAAGATTTTGCTTATGTGTAAAACCACAGGTGTTTTTATACAGAGTGCATTTTGTGTATTCATTTATTAATATTTTTTTGACTAAACTGACTAAAAGAAATCCAATGCAGCTGCACTAATTGTATTCTATTCTAATTCAAATGATTAAAGTTAGACTTGAAATGCTACTTTGGAATAGTGCGATCTGGCCTCTAGAGACTGATTTTTTTTTTAATGCCGACCTTGTAAATATGTAATTGAAAGATGCATTGACTGTTGTTTCCAGGGCTAATGCAGAAATAGCTCAGGTCCGATTCAAGGCCAGGCAGGAGCAGGCAGCCTTCCAGGCCAGTCTGAGGAGGGAGCAGATGAAAGTGGACTCACTGGAGCGCACTTTGGAACAGAAGGTCAGCTCCACAGTGGTGTTGGTTGAATCATCAGTATTAAACAATATAACATTATATAACATAAAGTGACTGAAAAAAAAAACTTGTTACTAAATCCTTGTTTTCTTTGTGCAGAACAAAGAGATTGAGGAGTTGACAAAGATTTGTGATGAGTTAATTGCCAAGATGGGGAAGAGTTAGCGGCTGTGTGGCACCCAGGCCAAATCTTAGGTACACGTGGAAAACAAACCACATGGAGCTCTCACTCTTCCAAGGACTGATATTAATCCAAGGCCAAGTCGGACTTAGGGTTTTGTTTCATACTGACTCTGTACACATGATCCACAGGAATGGTTTCTCCTGTGTATTTCTGATGCGTCTGTGTGTTGTACTGTAAAAGAGGTCTGGTTTAAAACATTTTTAAAAATGTATCATTTTAATTATGAGTGTGTCTGCCTGTGCAGGTGTGTGAACGATGCTGAGAAAGTGAGAGCGATGTTTGTTGGGTAAATTATCTTTCATGATTTTTGCCATGACAGCCATTGAGGGAGAAGACTGTTGACCCACCTCTGTTCAAGTCTCCTCTTTGTACAAGAGAGCGACTTTCAACGTGTCCCAGAGTTCCTGAAATGTCGATACTCCTCTAAGAGATTGAAAACTATCACAGTAGCTTATTGCATGTTCAAATGTTCATGTTTGTATATAATGTAGGAGAATCAGAGTATGTGCATTTTTGATAGATGTTCCGTCATCAGCGATCCTCATGTAACCTTGTAGATATTTGTCATATTTGTCATAGCTTTCCTAATGAAATCGTTGGACTTTATTTTTATTTTTGGATTTTATTTTGATATGAGGCCAACTAATCGTGACTGTATCCAGTTGTGACCACAAGTTATTTAATTTTCGGGTGGATATGTCCTACTCCTGCTACGGTCATTGTGTCACACTGAAGAGCAACTTCTCTGCACAGCTACTGTACAGCGTCTGCTTACAACGTGCAATAAAAGATGGCAATACAGCAGCGAGGGCCCACGGTAACTTCTTTTTGTTCTGAGTATGAGTCAACAGGAAAACAGAAGCACCCATGAACAGTTCTTCACCTTGATTCACTGTTGTCGTTTGATAATCATCTCAGAGATGAAGAATTTATCCTCAAAAAGGGTTGCAGCGTTGCTGGAAAAATATATAATAATCATCTAAGTTAAAAATAAAACTGCCAGATCGACAGTCCAACTACACAGGCTTAAACACAAAGTGTTGGTGCAGCATTGGGTGGTGTGAAAGATTTGTATATCTAAGTCAACATTGATGGTTTTCACCCTCTGATTGTATACACTGGGAAAGAGCAACTTGAGCCTAAAATACCATCTCAACACCCGGTTTGTCAAGGCTTCAAGTTAGTCTACAACTGACAAGTCTGTAGACGGACTGTAGACGGATTAATATTGTTACAGGAAAATCACCAAAGTTTTGGTGATGCGTTCAAGTCACTGTAAAGATGCACTGTAATGTCTTGCCCACTCCATGAAACCACATTTTGAGGAGAAAATTCATAATTATAATTTAATCATTTGGATTAGCAACAAATAAAAACATGTGAAACATACAACCAGAACAGTTGAATATGTGGAAGATCCCAGCTTCCATGAATGCAGCACCAGATTCACACCTGATTGAGCCACACCCATCTGTGAGTAATCAGAGGACACACCTGCATCCTTCAGGGTGTGAGTGATTGTGGTGTGGATTTCCAGGCTGGATCAGCTCTAGAACTCTGGGCTCCTCTGGATGGCGTGGTCATCTCTGGTCAGTGCAGGAGGGGGGATTATGAGCTCCTTTGATTGATCTCACATTAAGCCCTAAGAGCTTTAGGAGCAAACACGCCGCCTTCCATGGCGTGATCAGAAGGAACAAGCAGCTCCAACACCATGAGAGTTGTCCACTGCTGTTCAGCGCTGCTGCTCTGCCTGACCTTGCTGCCAAACAACGGTGAGGGCTTTTTCTTTTTCTGTCTTGCTGTTGTAGGTTTCTCACGTTTGTTTCTCCTGTTGGACCAATTCTCCTGCGTTATCTGGTCATTTGAGCTTCTTCAGTGTCTTCAGTCAGAGAGACGTCTCTCTGGTGGGTTATTGGATTTCTGAGAAGAGGTCAATAATCTTTAGATTCGTTTTCCCTCTGTGACACGAACTTCAACTGTTTAAACAGCTCTGCTTGAAGATGTTAGGACAGAAAATATTTGCCACATTAAAGGCCTACTTATTTATGTTTTTAGCAGAATTCTTCCACAACCAAATTGCTAAAAATTTACAAATTGTTGTTAATTTATGACCAATTCCTTTTGTTTTTCTTCAGAACAGTCATCCTCCCTTGTGGAGTGCATGCGATCCCAGAAGTTAATCTCTTAATAAGGCTGAAGGCTAATACTCTACTGTGTAACATGGCTACAGGGTTAGGTTGGGTTCAACCCCCAGCAGAAGGGGATACTTTTTCGTGCTAGGTCAAAGCATAAAAGGAGAAAAGCAGGATTCCAAAGGGACTCAGATTTGTCTGTTTTTTTTTCCAGTTTAGATGCTGCTATTCCTAAATGTTGGATTTCAAGTAATTTAACTAGGATGTCACTAAATTCTGAGAAAAAGTTGTTGGTTGTTTTTTCCGATATTTAAAAGATAACCTTTGGTTAACTATGAACAGCATTTTGAACCCCTACAGCTACTGTATTTCTTGATGTCAAGGAGGTTATATTGGTGGACAAAGCTGGTTGTGCCTTTGTGAGAAAAGTTTTTAAGAATATTTCTATAAATCCTACACCCTCTGCTTTCTGCAGGAGCAGTTTTTACTCCTTCAACATTTGTCAGTGTGTTTACAGACTTATCACACCCCGAGATCCTGTGTTTAAAAAAAAAAATCATGACAAACTCCAGTCCTGGGGTTATAATAAATAGGATTGAGGTAAAGTGTGCCACAGCTTTGTGCAGTATTTACCATGTTCCAGCAACTGCAGCTGGCTGTCTTCAGACTCACTGTCTTCAGGTCTAAAAATGGGTTTTAATAGGACAAAGGAAGCAGCAGAAACTGAGATGGAAACTGAAATACCAAGGAAACCCTGCATTAGCATCATAATGTGTTCCCATTAATTAATGCTGTTCCACCCTGTTAGTAGAAACACAACAGTCTTGTTTCCAGGGTTTTTCTTATTGATCTGTGAATACTTAGTTTTACAGGGTTTGTAATTTGAAAACATTTTAATGATTATACACAACTGTAATTGTTTTTCATTTACGTGTAGGAAAACAAACTCACAGGCTACTGTATTAGGTACTGTAGTCTTAGTCAACCACTCATTGCTCATGCGCACATGTTGGTCGCACGATGACACTGGAATTCAGACGTAGACCTTTGCAGAGCACATTCACTACAGGCAAACTCAGAAGCTGCTTAATGAAGTACAGTACTCTGATTCACACACCCTTTGTTTAATCTGGACAAAAATGACCTGCTGAAACGGAAATCATCGATCAGAAATGGGACCAAACAAAATCAAGTTGAAGTGCCACACTGGTTGGACTGAGTATTTCAAATACTGCTGATTTGTTTTTGACTTTGTTGCAGAAAATAGTGCAATTATAGTGACTATTAACTGAAGCGGTTCACTACAGTCTAAGACCATAGTAAGACTGTGTTTACCTGTATATCCTGTCATGTTTTGGAACAGAAATATTAGGATCCATATAATAGATGGGCTTGAACAGCTGATGACCTTACAAAAAATAAAGTCATACAACCAAGTGGCAGATGACCAAACGTTTGTTTAGTGGCAGTATCAGCCTCTCCTTTGTTCCTTCCAGGTGAGACCCTGCAGTGTTACACCTGCATGGGCTCCAATAATGAGGACTGCAACCGGCAAGGGTCCAAAACCTGTCCCAGCTACTCTGATGCCTGTGCTCTGGTGGTGGGTCGTGAGAGTGAGTCCAGCAGTGAAATCCCAAAATAATCCTAGTTTTACTTCTTGCTACCAAACAAGATATTAAAATATCTAAATCTCCATTAGTGGATGTGTGTGATTACTGGAAAATAGTCTGGAGACAGATTCTAGGCAGCAGGAGGTTCAAGGCTTTAGGGTGCCGCTATTTCTACTTAATCAGTATCCTTAATTAGGACACCACATGTTCTGGGTACCATGATAATAACATCTATCCTCAGAAAATTAAATTAACGAAATCTCCATATTTAAACCTGCAAGTGTTGGATGTTGGATGAATATTATCAGAAAGTAGGGCATCCAAAATTTTCAACCTATTATCAACCAATCCAGTGCATATGCACCAGTTTCCCTAAATTACCCCAAAGTGTGAGATGTGTAATGAACACATATTTACAGTAGGAAGCCACACCTTTAATAATATAGCCTAATTTATAGTAAAATGTCTAATGTACATATGGGTTCTATGGTCAGTCACTAGACCAGAGGTTTCCAACCTTTTTGATATCACAAATATCTGGTATCTTGTTTTTCTTTTTTGTAGAATTCGTTTCCTTTTTTTTTGGCTTAATCTGGTGTCCTCTACTCACGTACTGTATACATGTACAGTGTAACTGACACTGTGAAGATAGTCCTCCTGGGGTTTCAGCCAATGGTTTCTTGGAAAACATTATCTTGGCACAAAACTTATCGTTGGTCTAACTACAGAGAGTCAATTAGTCTTTTGTCGCAATTTTCATTAACCCTCACATTCCTTGATGTTTGAGAGCATTTATGCAGCCATAGGATTAATGAGGCATGTTGAATAAACCACAGACATGAATTAAAGTGATTTCTCTGACTTCTTCTGTGTAGAGCCAGAGTTACTGACATTGAGTTTTGTGTGATTGTCAGGTGGTGTGATGAAGTCATGTTCTTACAAGTCATTTTGCAGCCAGGCTAACAGCCAAGGAAACAGAGCCCCAGGTGTCAGGGTTCACTGCTGCTACAGCGACGACTGCAATTTGACAAGCTTCGCCGCCCATCTGCCAGAAGTCAACTTCCTGCTGTTAATTCTGCCTTTGTTAATCCACGCCTCTTAGATGTGAGTGGAACAATTCAACAATAACAATAAGTACATAACACTAATAGTGACTTTTATTTTTTTTACTAAACTCATATAAATCTCATGTGCAGAGCAGCTTGGTGTTGGGTGTATCTGCGTAGAGGCTAATATCAGATCATTTATTCTTTGCCACATTAGCTTTAGCCTCATTAAGTTAATGTTTAACCAATATGGTGTTCAGTCTACACTGACGTATCTGATGTCATATTGACTTCCCTTGGCGTCCGCTCTCTGTTTAAAAAAATATCTATCAAATTTTTCTATCAAGTCATCGCAGCAGATACAGAGAAATATAATAATAATAATATAATTGTTGAAATTATTATTACAATAATACCAGCCAGTTGTGAAGTCATTCACTTTTTACCTTAGTGAAAACCATGTGTATTGTTTTGTAAGGTGGGAAGTTGGAAAAAAAAAAAAAAAATTCCATTTTCTACACATTAACACAAGCCTATTATTTATTTATATTTCTTTGTCGAGTTCATCTTAGCATAACACAGATAGAGGTGTGGAATATATTACCTGCAGCTGGTGGTTATAGCAACATCAACTACATCAGAGAAATATTGAGTTTTAATATTTATAATTTGAAATTGAAAATACCATTTGTCATGGAATTGTAAACAAACATTCAGTCTTTTTAAAGATCAGCAGAAAATTATGTAGTTAAATGAAACACAGAAATGTGATTATTTTTTTAAAATTCATATTATTGAATCTTTTGTAAAATGTTCTTGTGTTCCCCTGCTAGTTACAATTTCCTCCTTTGGGGAAAACAAAATGGAATATGTAGAATATTTATTTTCTAAACATAACATTTCTATGTAATGGTGCATTTAAAGAAGTTTAAAATTCTGCAGGTAGATTTACAAAAACCCATTTTCGGCCCAAATTAACCGTTCTTGTGACAACTTACATGTGCGTCTACTGTAGTTCACATATCTACCAGTAGAAGGCAGTGTAGTCAAACCTTTCACCTCAGCAAGAGCAGTTAATGTATAAGACTGTTGCAATTTCTATTGACCAGCCTCGCCTCCTGGGTACTGCTGAGACTGCCTGCAGTCAATAGTGATAATAACTGTACTGTTTTATTGCTGTCTGTTGGGGGTTGTGCTTTATTTAAAAAAAATAAAATCCCTCCTCTGTCTCTCCCTGTTGTTTGAAGCCAACTGTTTTCTTTCTTTTCTTCCCCTGCTGATGTGTCCTCTGACAGGCAGGTGTGAGAGTGAGAACACACTGCCCTGGAGGGGGCTCTACACTGACCCCAAACTGTGAATCTCCTGGCCTGTACAGCCAAAGACTATAATGGGGCTAACATTCACAGACAGTCAGGAGAGTGGCCCCACGTCAGGCCTCATTAGCCTTCAAAAGGCTTTCACGTTAATTAAGGTGGTGGGAGAAGGTTTGTCTAAACGTGAAGAGCTTTTGATGGATCAAGGTGATGCTGAGCTCTAGGTGATGGATTCCAGCATGTCTGTCTTCCTTTAGTGGGGGTTAGTAGTACTTTTATTCAGTCTGTTGAACATGTCATGGCTCATTGAAGTGAGAATATCTGCCACCTGCCTGTTTCACCTACAGACGTTTCGAGACAAAGCTTACAATTTGACGGAGTATTCGGAAGTGCAATCATGGCCAAAGCCACAGCTGAAGTATGAACATCTCTGGACAATAACACTGTCCTCCTCAGACAAGGCATCGAAGATAAAACTGAAGGTTATCGCCATGGCAACTTTGCTTTTTTTAAAAATTGGAGTATGCTTAATCCCAATCCTCTGGTACCTGAAGACATTATCACAGCAAATCCCACTGTCAGTCAGCAAAGGACTGAGCCTGCTGCCCTTTAAGGGAGGCAGAGTCGCGAGGCGACCCGTCCCTCTACAGTGGTTTATAAAGTAAAGCAGACAGCTATAACTGCTGCAGAATGCCACCAATAACCCACACATTGACTTCCTGTTATTATTTTTGTGCATGTGGGTTTGTGTGAGTCTGTGTCACTCTTATCAGGAAGGATTTTGTCATTTTTCTCAACTGCTTCCATTTCACCGTGCCGCAGAAAAGATTGACTTTTTGAGAAACAATCATGCTTCCATATTTTTGCTGTGAAATCCACTCGCCGCGTCTTTATTGCATTTTAATTACATTATTTATTTGCCAGGTGCATCGATCTGCCCAGCCTGTTTGTAATAACAGCAGGCAGCAGCAGAGCTGATTAGACTGATCAATATGAGAGGTAAGAAGAAAATGTAATACTTTAAGGACAATTGTGCTTAGTCACGTCCTCCAATCACACACCCATTAGGGAGCTGCAGAATTCAGGCGGATTACTGGACTTATGATGGATGACTGGCTGAATGTGGGGAATGACAGGACCTGACAAAGTAAAAATAGTCAACATTTTCAAATTCATACAGAGGTAAACAAGTACATCCTATAATGTATATTTTCCGTTTTTGTTATCTCTATATGTCACTTTGACGAGTGTTTTCTTTAGTGTAAAAAAACCCCCACCCATATTAAACATATATTACCTAAGTTGAAAAACCAAAAACGCTTAGATTACAAACTTGTACTTTGTTGTTGTTAAAGGTGATAAATACATGAATTCTTTCTGGTTCAAACTACCTGTGTAATTATTTGGTTCCCCAAGTACCAGCAGTATGAATGGCATTAAAATACAGCATCGCAGGCCTGTACCTTTCTTGACTAAGAACAGTACATGGAGAATGAGCGTGTGGTCGAGTGTAAGGAAACATTTACCAGTAGAAAGCTTTAGGGGGCAGTATTTCAAGAAGATAATGTCATCTGCCATTTATAACCAGTGAAAAGAACAGCAACAGAGAGAGGCAGAACCTTATTATAGGATGGGAATAGTGGTATTTCTTTAAAAAATAAAATCTCCTTTCATAAGTATGATGCAATGTGAAGTGTTTGGAGGCAACACTGTAGTGGCTAAAACATCTGAGGATAATTAAAGATGGTACAAAGTTATCAGTGGTGTAAACTCGTCCCCATAGAATGAATTAATGTGAAACATCACATTAACTCCTGACACTGTTTTATGACAAGGCTTTTTTATAGACAAACTATGGTTTTTAAAAATGGATACAGTTATAAGATAATTGTTTGACAATATTGATTCATTAACATGACGCTGTGATCTGACTGTAGATGTGTATGTGGGTCTAAATGGTGGTCTGTCTCTATAAATGGCTTTGTGACAGACCAGAAAACCAGTACAATGGCTACTTGCCTTTCACCAGGATTGTACAGGTTCCAACTGCGAAATAAGGAGAAAAAATAAATGAATGTTTTTGTTTTGTTTTTGCCAAATAGGAATAATAATTAAAAAAAACACTGTGTGACCTTGGAGCTCGTCCACAGTGTTTGAAATTCTGTCATTTTAGTTCCTGGTCTGGCACACTTAAAGAAACGTATTCATGTGGGACAGCTGTGTCTGGAGTGACAGCAGTGTTTGGTTGTTCAGGGATGAGACAGTCTGTTGGCCAAACTCTGCTGAATGCAGTTCTTCACCAGAAAAACAAATTATACAGAGTGAGGTTTTATTCAGTGTGTCTTACTGATGCTTTAGAGAGGCGTCGGGATGTAGATTCTACAACTACAACTATTGCTGTTAGGATAAGTGTATAAATTGTGAATGTGAACTTTTGATTGTAAGATGAAAGAACTTGTTATTGTGGATGAAAAGGCGGCAAAATGACAGTGTGTGAAAGAGTGATTGTGTTTACATTAATCATCTCTGCCCCGGCCGGTCAGCTGGGGTTCACTCGGCGGTCACTGGTTCTAAGGTCGTGGGTCTTGAGTTTTTTTTTAAAAAGATCTGTGAAGCAGAATTAAAGTGATCTACCTCCGTACTGAAGACCACGGGCTGTTTGTCTTTAAAACAGGAAAAAGTAAAAAAAAAAAAAAAAAGGAAAACATCACGGGGAGAGCTGGGTTCCTGAAGAGAGAGCTGGGGAAGAGAAAGAATTCTGCGTAATGAGTGTTTTCCCTGCTTGAGCTACTTTGATATGTAACGTAATGGCCCACCTTCTGTGAGGCCACTCTCTGGCTGGAGGGCTACAAGGAGTCCACTGAGAACATCTGAATATGACAGGAAACAGGGCAGCAGTGGACGCCGTCGAAGGGTACAGATGACATTTCCACAATCGGATGACTAGAACAATTGTATCCTTTGTGTTTGCAATAAAACACTTAGCCGGCGTCCATGCTGCATCCTTCTAAAGACCTTTTAATTGAAACAACAGCAGTGGCAATGTTCCGTTCACAGATTTTCCTGCAAATTGTTTTCTAAAATATATTTCAGATGTCATGACTATTCATTAGCAGATAAATTCCAAGTAAACAGACTTTGAGCCAATATACAGCAATTAGCAAAACCACCATATGTTCTCTGAAGATTTCGCCTCTTTCCCCGTATCCTCTCATGAGGCGACTTTTTTGCACCTCGCTCCCTCCCTCCCTCCCTCTCTGCCTGTTTCAGCTATATCAGCGGTGCAGCCTGTCTATTTTTGTGATCCCCCACAGGATGAACAAAGGAGCAGGGTTATATAAAGAGAGGGCTCGTATGATGAGCTTCTTGTAAAACTGCAACAATTCTGCTAAGTCTGTGTGTCTCACGCAGGAACAAGATCTGCATACGTCTATGGAGAGGAGCTTGGATTTTATTTATTATTCTTAGGGAAAATAGATAAAGTTGACCTGACGTGTCTTCAGGAACAACTCAAACAGTTACATGTGATTATGGAGAACTGCAGAGGGAACGTTTATATGTTCTAGTGGGAAGGAAAGAAACAAAGGACAGGAACAAAGGAAGCAGACCTTTATAAAGACCAAACCAAAATCACACCAATAACGATGGTGCCCCAAGGTGAGGCCAGGCTCATTCAGCCGTGCCTTGTAACCAGTATAATTAGTTTTGGAAAGGAATATCAACTGATATAATTAAGCATTCTCCACTAATGATGAACTTCTGTGCTGTGACTGGTGAGGCGCTAATTGATGGGAGAGGGAAGTAGAGGGGGATGAGTGCAGGGGGCGGGTGACGTGCTGTGCAGGATATGACTGCAGTGCTGCAGGAGAAAAAACTTTTTCACGCTTGGGTCTTAATCAACAGGTTATATTTGGTAGTTCTTTTCCCTGGGCTACAGAAAAGATGTGATTACCAAGTCGACTGAACTTGCTCAGTGCTGTTGGACCGAGGGGTCAGTAAGTGCAGAGAAGAGGGGTTGCACAGGTCATGTTGGGAGTCTGAACTGTTCCGAGTTTATATGGAAGCGGAGGGCGGCAGATTTGCACGGGGAGCCCTGTGAGGAGGGGTCGTAGCTGAATCAGTTGAGGGGATAATGGTAAAGCAAATTGGTTTTGACAAGTGTGGGGAGGTGGAAGTAATGTAGTCCTTTAAAAAGGGAGATGAGGGATAAGCCAACGACTGAGATAATCAGGGTTACCATTTAAGAGCTGAGGGATGGATAAGTCCTGAGCTAAAAACGTAGGGTCTGCTGGTGTCGTTGAGAAGTGAGGCAACTGGGTTAACATGTGTTTAAACAGTATCTGAGGTCTTGTTGAGAAAGAGGTGTGGTACTGTGTGAAGGACAACAAAACCTCTAAGTGTTGATTTTTCGGGGCTATATATTGATTGGATGATAAACCACTCTTAAAATGTCAATCATCTAAAATTCTCCTGCTGTTTGTAAGGAAGTCGTATCTTAGTCTATATGTAATGACAACAGGCAAGGTCACCTGTGTACTGGTTTGAACCCTAGTATGGAGTTCAAATGTTCAGACGAGCACTGAGTTTTCTCTGTGTACTCTGTTTTCCTGCTACAGCCCAAAAGCAGGCAAGATTAATTTAATAAAACACTTTGAAATTGAATGTGTGAGATTATGAAAGAATAAAAATGACCATTCTACATTAAAACACAGGGTGTTCTTATAGTCTAAATAACGTTCCAAGAATTGTTTTTCTTCTGTTTACTGATCGTTTGTTTTGGGGCAGCACAAACAGGATAAATAACTATTTTGATTTTATTAAAATAGTAAATGACAGACTCTGCTGGTCATATTATCGAGAACAGATTGTTTAATGTTATTAATACACTAATGTATTGAGGCTTAATAAAATAACATGAACAGTTCATACTCAAACAAAACATTTTGTACAGAGCATGACGTTTTACTGTTGTCTAGTGTTAGTCAGGTTGGCCTTTATTGAACAATGTTCATTATTGTTCATCAGTGATTTTAAATGAGAATTCTCGAATGGCTTTTTGGTGCAAACCACTGGCTTAGAGACTAATACAGAAGTACATACATGAGTATTAGTTAAAGCCCAGATTACAGTAAAATAACTAATTTAGTTGAAATAATTTGCTGACAGGAATACATGTAAAAGAGCCAAACAATGGTTAAATCAAAGTTCAAGTGGTAAAATAGTTCTGTATATATTTTTTGTACTGCTGTTTATTTGAAACTTCCAAGCTTGGGGAAATGCTTGCTTAATTCATGCAAACCTATAATTACTTTCTCATAACTTTCAACAAACAGTCTTCAAAACAATTCAGGAGATTTATTTGTATTGATGTGTTGTACTTTAAGTCATTAATAAATCAATTTGAGAAGCCTTGCCAAATTGATAGTGCTTCTTATCAATATGCCGCAGTCATCCTTGTTAGGTCTCTATGCAACAGACAGACGGAAAACAAAAAGTACACGAGAAAAAAAACCCAGATATTTAAAGAGACAGTCTGAGACACAATAGCCAGCAGCAAATATGACCGACGACATTTAGCCTTTATCCGCTGTTAGACATCCTTGGAATGAAGCATCATTCCCATCAGCAAGCTGCCTGCCAGATCAGCTCAACCCGCAGCCAGCTAGACAGACGTTTTACAGCAGCCAGCATGGAGACAGACTGAAGCACAGAAACCATCAAAGGTGTTTGAACACAAACAAGGGATTAACAGTTAGTTGTTGGGCAGAGAAGTGATGTTAAATACAACAACAGAAATGGGCCACTCTGCAGGAGAGCAGCCCCCAAAACACAAATGTAAGCTCTTTTTTGCCACTTCATAATGGATTAATGGATCAATTTTACACTAGAAATGTGAAGGCCTGCTTTTAAGGGTGTACTGTTTTTCTGTTACCATTGTTAAAGTAATGAAAAATGATCTTTTATTTGGTTATTTTTTCTAGGCATCTTTATAGCACTCAATTAGAGAGAGAAAATCAGACAAAACAGACAGAGGGCTGTCTCCCTGAAGACAATATGTCCATTCAGTTCTTATGGCTCATTTTGGCTCAAATATTTAAAAATCAGTGTAATATCAGAACAACAAATCAAAGACTGTGATGGTACATATGGATCATTTAAATAATATAGTGCTTGAATACTGTTGAAGATCCTAAATGTATTTTCTGTGACATAATAGATGTCATGATATGCCTTGACATAAATTAAATTAAAATATACCTAATTTTCAAGTCTTTGTCCTGGTCTTGACACATAAGGGTCCTCATCACATCACTGCCACCCGCATCAAGTATCAGCACAGGGTCGGACGGCGGTGGGGGAAAAAATGGAGAGAACGAAAATATTGAAGGGCTTGCTCCAACTGTCAGGTTTGACCTCTTTTCCCTGCTTGGTCTTGTTGTAACAGCCCTTAATCCTGACGGCTCCAGTGCCGAGCGGTCACAAGTTTTGACAGCAGAGTGTAATGACCTAAGATGTTCACTGTGGGAGGTGAGGAGGGTAGTTAGGGTTTGAGGGTAGGGAGGAGTAGTGAGGAGGAATGTTTGATGAGAAGTTACAGTGTTTGCTTTAGGTGTGATGCAGTTTCATATAACGACCACTGGGTGACCAGCTAGTTTGTTTTAGGGGTCACATGTCTCAAAGAAAACCCCACTGGGGACAGAGAAAGGATTTTAATGGTGGCCTGTGACAAAGACACTGCCGTGCTCAGTGTTTATTAGTGTGTTTGGCCTTAGTTTTTCAGATTGCAGATCCTGGTTTAATCTTACAGAAACTGTTTCCTCCAAGGAAAATTTAACAAATCACTGCAATCTCTTTTGACAGTATTCATCTTGTATGCAGACAATGTGAAATGAAAGTGTTTGCACCTGGCATCAAATTGCTTTTTGGATGTGTCACCCGCGACACCCGAGACGTGTCTTCTCATTTTTGCTGCTTTTGTTTTGGCCATGGATTAAAAAAACTGGAATGTTTGGATACTGATTTGTAAAAACAAAATTATTTCAGGTCACATCATAACTGCAATGGGTCAGATGAGGCTAAGGAAGCTGGATCTAATCCGTCCCGAGGACAGTGTTCATCCATTCATGCATGCACAGGAATGTGGTCACATGCAATTGTAACTTTGGTGATTAGATCTTAAAGTGCCTCAGGACACATTTGTAGCTCAAAGCTGCTTTAATGTGCTTGGATTACCGAAGACCGATCGTATTACCAGACCTGAGCAGGGTCTTGAGCAGGGTCTCGGACTATACCAAGAATGAAAGTACTGGTTTGTGAATCTAGTATATATTGAATTGTTTGTCTGTGATGTGACAGGAAATTCATAGGGTTTTAGTTTTTACAGATTGTGGAAGTTTCTACATTTAAAAACTGTTTCAGTTCATATTCTCCATTTTAGTTTCAACCCTTCTGCAATTTGTGTTTCCACAGTGAATTTCTTCAGGTGACAGCCTGTTTCTTTGGCTCGTCTACTGACTGAATATCAATTGCTTTCAGATGGTATTTCAGTTTTAGGAAAAGAAAAATAAAGGGATGGAAAAAAATGTTGCAAATTTATTAGTGGTTTAATCAGGCTTCCATTCAAGTTTGGTTAAAATGTAAAATTTGCTCTGCTTACAAGTTTGTTTGTTTGTTGAGGCATGTAAAGTTGGATAAAATCAAACTTGCTGATACAGATGCTTGGGGCATGTGAACAAAGTTCCATAGCCAGAAAACTTGAATTTTGCTCAACCTTGTTTATACATTAAACAAAATGTTAGAAAAACGAGAAGTGAGAATGCTAATTATCTTTTTTTATTTACTAAAGATAATATACTAACTTAGCCTAAATCTTTCATAAGACAAAGACAAAAAAAATCTTGTGGGATGATTCTTACACTGGCAGTAATGTCTCTACCTTAAAATCAAGGTGAGAGTGTGAGTGCTGCACTTGGTTGCCATGCAACTGTTACAGTGACACAGAGGTGAGAAAAGACAATGAGTGCAAATTAATTTTATATCAAACGTATAAGAAATTATCTTTGACATACTGGACATGTTACTGTGTGAAATGAATGTCTGAAGGAGAGTCTTTTATTTTACATAAGGTTTCTGCATTTTTAATTGTTTTTAATCAACTCTATTGCAACTTTGTCTCATCTAATTTCATTGCTGTAAATCCGTCTGTGCCATTACAGAGAAGGAAAAAAAAAAAA